GCAACCTCCAACTCCTGGGCTCAAGCGAGTCTCCTGCTTCAGCCTCCCAAGTAGCTAGGACCACAGGTGCCCGCCACAACGCCCGGCTATTTTTTGGTTGTAGCCGTCATTGTTGTTTGGTGGGCCCGGGCTGGATTCGAACCCGCCACCTTAGGTGTATGTGGCTGGCGCCAAGCCTGCCTTCAAATTTTTATCTATCGCTTTTAGCATCACTCTTTCAGGCTGCATTCAACAAATCCTTTTTCCTTAAAGAAGTTCAAATATTGAACTTACTTTGCTAGGGGCTACTCATGTCAGAGACTCTTAACAAGCTTTCTATGAACTAAAACCAGCAGTATGCTGCAAAATTGAATTAAAAACAAAACAAAACAAAAATCACCTCTGATTTGTAGGATTTGCTGATTTCTGTGGCTAAAATACTCCTATCATGACCACTCCAAGCTTCCAAAGTGAAGTTGCTAAACTTAGAATTGGGAAGAGATGTGCACAGTCCACTCTGGAGATCTGTGTGAGCTGGCTGCCACATGTCAGCTCCTGTTTTCTTTTTATGAACATATTTTGCGGCTTAATCATATCTCACTCTACTTAGATACTGAACTGTTGATACTGGTGTTTTGAGGAAAAGAGTTCTACAAGCATACTACAGGTGGACTTGACAAGAACAAGTGGGAGACTTTGGAGGAACAGAGGAGGGGTGACAGGGTGCTGAGCAAGAGATAGGAGGGTAGGTTCAGGGAGGAAAGGTAATTAATTTGTATGTTAATTGAGTAAATATTTGTTGAGCACCAATCCATGCCTGGTATAGGTATTGAGGACAGATAGAGCAGACAACACGCCAGATAAAATCTTCCTTGTTCTTGTGGAGCTGATATTTTGTCTGTTTAGAAATGGCTCCTTGAATGAAACCTGTAGGAATCTTTCTGGACCCTGAATCTTCTCCTAAGTAACCCCTCTGTCATTTGCAGCTTTAAGTCACTAGGGCATTTGATGAATGCCTTTCAGATACTTTGTGCTACACCATAAGAAACCTCCATCCAAACTGATTTCACACCATGCAGTTGCTACCTCCTGCAGAAAGTTCCCCCACCTTCCTTACTTCCTCCCTCCAAATCTGGGTAATCCTGTTCCCATAGTGAGCAGTGTAGTCATCAAACATAACCCTTGGTATTCTAGGTAATTCTTTCTGTATCGCTTTACTTCCCCAGTACATCGTGCACTTCCTAAGGGCTTTTTCTTAGCAAGTTCCATCTTAAACGATGAGGCAGAACCATCCACAGCCTACCCTTTATCTCAAGTGTAAAGTCTCAACTAATTTTCAGTGTAAAATGCTCACTTACGCCAGTTAAACAATTTTATTTTATACATATGTAGTATTAATATTTTCCCTCCTTGTTTACATTAAAACAAACCCCCCTAAAAGGGAGCTCCTGCAATCTGCCTGCAGGAATTTTATTCTCATTAAATACATGCACATGATTTTCACAGTTCATTATACTAGTAATGTTTTTGAGCTTCCTAATAATGACTTTATTCACTATTTTACATTTAGCTCACTGCCAGAAGAAAGTTAGAAGCACAGATGATATCCCCAAGAACAGATATTTACTTGGGAAAGAAATAAAGAAGTGTATCAATTGATGTCTTTTGTCAGTCATTCTCTGACCACCCAGGAGAGGGGAAGGCTTTGCTCTCTAGAGTCTGGCATCCAGGAGAAACCATCTCATCTTTATCCGTAATGGTAATACAGCACCATGTTCTCTACATGTGATGCATCGGCCACATGGGACATCTATAGGACTATCAAGAGTGCCATTTGAACATGATTTCTTCTTGCACAACAAGCAGTTTTGACAAGATGACCTGTGTTTTTGGTTAGGTTTTCTGAAGTTACCAGAATTAAAGCCTTAGCTGTTCCTTTTGTTCTTCCAGCAGATTTTACAACCACATGTTCCTTCAGTAGTCCATTCTGCTTTGAATTTGCAGGTACTTGGAACATTATTACCTTTCTAATTTTGTTTCAGTTTGGTATGTGTCATAATACTTCCACTTTTATTTATTTATTTATTTATTTATTTATTTATTTTGAGACAGAGCCTCAAGCTGTCCCCCTGGGTAGAGTGCCGTGGCATTACAGCTCACAGCAACCTCCAACTCCTGGGCTCAAGCGAGTCTCCT